TTATGTAGAAATATAATAAGAATATTTGACAGAAATAATAACAAAGTTAATTCCATAAACTCACATTTTTATGCTACTATAAATTCTTAAGAAATAATAAATATTAGAAGGTGTTTTTGACATTTGTGATTTAATGTGACATTCATCATTTATTTTATTTTTCGCACATAGAATGACACAAACGGAATTAAATGAGAGAAGCGATACAAATATATTAATTAAATATATCTCTATTATAAATTAGGTATTAATTTAAAAATTCGATTACTTTTCAAATATGAATTAAAAATATAAAAATAGTTTACAAGTTTAAACATTCCTCGTTTATGAAATAAATATAATTTGAAAAAGTTACAAGCAATGCGAATATTATATTTATATGCTAAAATATGCATTATGTTATAGTTATTAACTATTCATTTATATAATTAATCGATTAAATTATGAGTTAACCATATAATGAATAATTTAATAATTCGTGATTATATTCAGGGCCGGATTTATATATTTTTTAGCTCTAAGCTAACAATAAATTGAGACACCTTCCCCAATTTGTTTTAATTGTATAAAAAAGATACATATGTCTATTTACACAAGTTATTAATACACAGCAAAGTCTTTATTAAATTATTTAACTTTAAGATGTGTACAATATAAATTAAACAAAATATAATATAAAATAAAAACACAAATATGTTTAATTAACGCGTGTACACGACGTCATCCAAGGACTAGGTAAGACAGGAAAATTTATTCGATTGCCACGCGTGAACTTAATTTATCGCCTGAAAGCGATCCAAATGCCCAAGATAATTATGGCATTGTACTAATCGTCCAATAGCAATTAAAATCGTAGATTTTATAGTTAGTTGGTCAAAATTTCCTTATCGCTTTCAAACGATTAAAAAAGTAAACATGCCATAAAAACAGGCAGCCATCTTGGCAACCTTTGATCGCCAGAGGTGAATTTCAATCGCTTTTTTTACAGGGTAGCATAAAAGATTTTTCACTGTTCAATTTTTTATTAAAATTTAGAGGTCCCTTGAAAGCTCAGATCCCAAGCTTTAGCTTATTTAGCTTAATGGTAAATCCGGCACTGGTTATATTAATATTCGAGGTTAATATTCACAGACGAAATCTACATTTTAAATTTTATAAAATCTTCGTAGAAGTTTTTAGTAAAATATAGATTTATTCTGTTGTTGGAAGATAAAATTGATCTTACGAAAATATAATTCAAAAAATACTTATTAAATTGTTTGTTATGTTGCTTAACAAAAAATAACATATGCCGACTTTCTATACTTTAAATGATTATTGATTATCGAAATACTTTATGAAAAAGAAAAGCAGCCTGTCCACTGACAGAGAATGCCAAACACTGACAGTTGGCAACTATGATTATGGAATGAGACTAAGAAGTTTTTAGTAAAATATAGATTTATTCTGTTGTTGGAAGATAAAATTGATCTTACGAAAATATAATTCAAAAAATACTTATTAAATTGTTTGTTATGTTGCTTAACAAAAAATAACATATGCCGACTTTCTATACTTTAAATGATTATTGATTATCGAAATACTTTATAAATATTTATATTAAACATATTTGAATATTCTTGAATACACACACATACATACTGTATATACGTGTATGTGTGTCTGTGTATGTAATACAGTACTAAATAAATATAGTACGATCAACACCAGTTTAACTGTACAGTACCTTTTAAGTTGTAGAGAAACATCATGTTCATATACATAATTGTCTGATAATACATAGATTTCATTTTCTTAATAATTATATTGAAACGAAACATTTTTATTATTTCACCAACCTTAAAAAATATGTATGCATATATATATTGCTTGTTCTATATTCTTAAATTCGATTATTTTGTGATTAAAAAAATAATTTGTCCAAACAAAGAATTTACTATACCAGTAGACCCCCTATAACACTGTTGATAATTCCGTGTTATATGAATTCCGTGTTGTACGAGTCACTTAGATTTTACAAATACGTGTGCCGGGCTGTGAACGGCTCACGTATTTCTTTATGCTGCATACAGGAAATACAATAAATATATTTAATAAGTATTTGTCAAAGTATTAAGTTTACATGATAGACTATTTGTGTCTGTTATTTGCGAACAAAAAATTTTATATTTATTGATATTCAGAATAATTTGTCAAAACAAAGAAGCATATATGCTATGCTTTTCAAAAATAACTAAAGAACATATTTCTGTTATTCTTATATAGGAACGCTTATGTCATTTTGTACACGCTGTTATTCATTCACTGGAAAAGAGTTTATGTAGGCAGTTCAAGATAAACGTACAATCTATTATAGTATTATCAATGGTAGATTACTAAGCATTTTTATTGAATTATTATTGTTATTGTTAGAGTCCGGTATTTGCAGGAATTTTACCTTGTTATTAACAACAATAGTGCATATATAAATTATTACTGTCCATTTTATGCTATAAAAATCTCAAAATACATTAATGTTTCGGTTCACTATTTTTTATTTTTTTCATTTTTGACCTTTAGCTAATACAGAAGTAACAGTTGCTGAAGTATATTAATAGTAAAGCTGTTTTTTCAAATAGATCTGTTTAATAATTAAGGCCTATATTTTAAAATAGTTTCACATAGAAACAATATACTCTAACCTTATTAGAATGAATTGCTCTATTACTCAAATATATTGCTATTCTTTTGCTCAAATATTAACTTAGAAATGAAGTTAAATTCATTTGTTAAAACGAATTTATCTCTTATATCTAATATAATACTTTCTATTACTCCTATAGAATCTAATTTTTCATTTGATAAAAGTTATCAGGACAAACAAGTTTAAACTTACAAAATTTAAGAAAATTAAGACACTTTTATATATCGTCTATTTGAAAATTTTCTTAAATTCTGTAAGTCTAATTTTTCATATTAAAGTGTCATAACTAGGACAGGCTCTATGTATCAGCAAAGCAAACTTATACTTGGACACAACATATATTTAAAGGTTTCATTTGATTACTCCATAAAATTTCATTAAATATGTGAAAAATGCAATGAAAGAAAGATTAAGAAAATAACCATATAGGCCTAATTTTTAAAAAGCAATGAAAGTGTGATAGTTTAGTGAAACCACATAAGAGTTTAAAATGTGAATAATTAAAGAAACAATAAACAGAAAGGAAACGTGTTCGACTTATTTGAAGTAGCTGGAATTGCTTTTGATTTTACAGCTTACAGACAACTGCATCTCAAAATAATGTATAAAGCAGAGTTTTTTTAATTTAATATTTTGTTATTTTTTCTTATGAATTTTTAAAATATAAATCATAAAAAACAACTAATTTAAGTGAAAGAACAGTTTACAAGTCTCAATCACATTTTTGAGTGCATTTTTTACTTATTTTTCTTGTCTTTTGGTGTTGTTTGAAACAATAGCAACAATTTGTCTGATGACATCAAATGTCTGAAGTTATTCACTAAACAGTTGGGATATTTTGTTATTGGAAAAATTGGCATTTTTGTTCTCGAATTGTTTTTCTCATTAACGTGCATTTTTAAAGTCTTTTAAAAGATTTTTAAAATGCAAATATCGAATATAAGCTTTCAGATGTATAAATTTAAAATAAATTCTTTATTTTCTATTAAATTCTAAAACAAAAGTTATTGCTCTCTTTTCTAAATACAGTATAAAGGAGTAATCTGCAAGTTTTTCATAAAAGAAGAGGGAAGTTGGAGGAGGTAGAGTCATATTTAAAATGGGATTGGACTTGAAAATTTAGCTTGTTATTAGCATTTACAATTATTTTTTTAAAATTCATCTCTACCCTCAAAAAGGCTTTTGTTGTTTATAATAATAATTATTATAAAAACATTTTAAACAAAATCTAACAGATGACGCCATATAACGTTAAATATTTCTTGGAATAGAGAAATTTCTCATAACTTAATAAAATTACTTCTTTTAAGCATTTATTATTATTTTAAACTTTATATCGCAGTATAACTGAAAATTATTGAACTTCCTGATTCTCTTAACCTTGTGTTCGAAAGCCGAAAAAGTCGTGCAAGAACCTTTCCACCTTTTTAAATAGAAATTCAAGCCTTTATCACCGTAAAAATTTGATTTTTATCATTTTCAATTATTTGACACCATACTATCTCTCTGTTTAAGGTATGAATATAATGAATTTAGAAAAACGATGTTATTTTTAATGATATAATAAAACCTTTTATGTTTTAGATTTAAGGAAACTGCGTTTGCTTCAAAAAGTATTGTTTTCTCTAAAACTATACTTTATATATCATGTGTTATACCATGTTATTGTATAGGCTATAACCATTCGTTAATTGTTCATATTGAAGAGCAAAGAAATTACATAATTTTTATTGAAGTTTGTTCTTGCAAATCCAAAAAATATATTTGTCATAAAACATTTAAAAGCTGCAAGATTTCCTCCTAATTACAGTGCATCTTAAAAAATATTTTAAAATTTTATTGATGTTTACGAACCACTCTCGACAGCGAATTAATTCTCAAGAATATTTAAAATTATAGAAATATATTATTCTTTAATTTACATAATAAAATCCTTAATTAATATAAGATGTCTTATTGTCGGTATCTTAAGCCGATATACTGTAGTCAAAAAATGCCAATTCTCATTGGCACGTTATAGATTCATGGGACACCAAGAAAATTTGAATTAGGCGGCCCCATATACAGGGTTGACTTCAAGCAGGGAATTTTGTTTAAGCAGTTCGGGGAATTTTGGGGTATCCTCGTTCGTTTATTAACGCGATTTCTGCGCTGTGCCAGTGCACCCTGCGCCTACACCTATCGACAGTCTAGGGTTCTCAGATAGGGCGCAAATTTAAATTTAGATATTCTTAGTACAGTAATGAGTTTATAAAAGATTGGTTTTATTAAAGCGCGTTTTCCTATAGGCAAAAAGGGTAATTGCCTGGAGCCCCCAATCAACAAGGGCCCTAGCCAATTGCCCCTTTTGCCCAAAGGATAACGCACCACTGTCAATTCCATTCATATTAAATGGATAAATGTGATAAATTGTGTCTAATAGATCTATTGTAGATTTTTTTTAAAAATATTAGTTATAATATTTTTATATTGAAGATTACTTAAATTTAATAAAATTCAAAAAAGTTAATTAACATTATCAGTGTATGTACAGTACGTAATATTAGAATCAATTATTTCATTTTTATAATATATTTTTTGACTTTTTCTTCTTTTGATAGCTAAGAGGATCTTCTTATCAGGTCCATCTTTGGTTTGGTCAGATCCACAATGAGAGGCCGGGTGGTAACAGACGGGACAGATCATAACCTAAAAATTCTTGGGGGTTTTCAATCCGTCCGGATTCGTTCCGATAGGCTGACATCCAACCATCAATCTTTGTTATATGATACAGCATCAATATGTATAAATCTGTATCAATTGAATATAAGCTACTACTAATAGAGAAGGGCATTCAGCTTATAGCAAGTCCCGGGTTTTGTATGCGGTCGGATTGGTTAGATTTGTACTCTCTGGGGTTTTGAGTTAACTCATTCAAAACTTTACAATTTTTCTCAAAAGCCGAACATTATTTTTCCATTTCTCCGCGCAATAGAGTTTGGTCTCATTGAGAATCTTAGCATCCTTAAAATAATATGGAAAAATATTGTGGATTGTATGTATAAGATACACATCATTTGCTCCTGAAGAGTCTGTTGTAGCAGATTGTTGACCAAAAGTTAAGGGGTTAATAGGGCTTTATAAATAGGGCTTCCATTTTCGGTAAGTATTGAAAAATTGTCAGCTGCAATATACATCGTATAATAATACCAAATCAATTGTAATCGAAATAATATTAGCAACGAGAAATTACACATAAAATCAATCATCTAATTGAAACCAATCGAAACAAACATTATTTATTTTCTTGGGATTGGATACGTTATTGCTAAACAACAATTAGCAAAAATCAATGAAGGATATCGTCAGTGGCTTATTTATTAAATAACAGTAATATATTGTACTGTACCTGTTATCAAATTGCAATTGTTTCGAATTTCTTCTCCTAGAAATAAATTTTCTTATGAAACTGCATGACTATAATTAAAATATAAGGTTATAATTTAGAACGTATTTTGAATAAGGAAGTTATAATATATTTCGAGAAGGAAAACAATAGTAAAGTAATAAATTACATGCTAACTAACATCAAAGATTTCTTAGAAAATGACTCCTCATTTGCATGTGCTTCTGAAACAGAAAAAATTATTTATACGTTATATGTTATGTTATAAACATTATAACATACGAGTATTTCAATTAGTAAAATAAAATTTCATATTCAAAAAAAGAACTACATAATGTTAAGTTTTATTACAACATTTTGATTTATTAGTGTTGTCTGTGTATTGTCCATACTTTTCATTTCTTAAGGAAAAAATTTCTGGTAGGATTTCTTGAGAAATTTAATTTCCAGTCGGAAACTCTAGGGCAGGGGTGTCCAACCCGCGGCCCGCGGGTCGCATGCGGCCCAAGGCAAGTTCCAATGCGGCCCAATAAACGTGTAAACAAAACCGACAAATTTTTAAATTTAATTTTATTTATTTCAACGTCATAAACTAAAAAAAAAAGAAGTTTCACAAAGCCGTAAACCTTTATATATATTTTATTTTTGAGTGGAAAGGAAATATTTTCAAATACTCGGAAATGTGTGAACGAGGAAGGAATACTAAATAAAGCTAAAGTTGAGACTCAAAGAATTATAGTCCCAAATTCGGGGAAAGGAGAGAAAGGCCAAAAAATAAATAGTGAGAAAGATTAAATAGACTTTCTGTTATGCAAATATGGACCCTTAATCTTCCAACCTTCCTCACTTCTTTATCTTTTGTCCTTTCCTTTCCCCGAATTTGGGTCTATTATCCTTTGAGTCCCAACTCCAGCTTTATTTAGTATTCCTTCCAGCGTTGCATTATTTGGCAACTTTGCGGTAAAGTTGGCTGCTCTTTTTTCAGTATGGCGTAAAATATATCATTTGGCGCTTAGGCTACTTTTTGGGCTACATATTATTTATAAATATATTAGTCGAATAAAAATGCACTTTAAAATGGTGTTTTGTCATTTTTTTTTTATTAATTAGAGACCCAAATAAAACAAAATATTTGTTTTTCAAATAAATTTTTGTTTCTCTCCTTTGTAATAAATGAATTTATCTATTTCTAAGTAAAAATTGAAAGTGTCTGTAAAAGTAATTTTTTAAAATATCCTTTTTCGTGATAAAGATTTAATACTGATTATTATAATCTAGACATGTTAATCCTTAAATATACAAATATATTTAAGGATTAACATGTCTAGATTGGGCCACAAGTACATATAATATACTTGTGGCCCAAAACTCCATGACATCTTCCAATGTGGCCCAGAGAAACAAAAAGGTTGGCCACCCCTGCTCTGGGGCTTTTTTATTTGAAGCGTTCATTTTGATTTATAGGAGAGTTTTAAAAATGTGACGTTACTTCTTGTTTAGCGAAATGCCAAATAATGTATGAAAATATTTGTTGATAATTGCACGTTAGTTTGATATCCGCTACTTATTATCTGCAAATTTATTAATTTGTTATTTGTATTTTGAGTCTTTTTTGTAACAATGCGTGTAAGGGAAAAAATATAGAGTACGTTAGTAATTTGTCAATCAAATTTCTTACAGACATATTGAACAATTTTATTTAAATAACAAATCATTTATTTATAAAAAGTGCTTGAAATGGCGTCCCTCAGCTTGAATACAGGCTTCAGCCCGTCGACGTAAAGATAGACGGACACGTTCAAACGCATAAGTGTAGCTGTGAATGCACACCATTTTAACTTTAGGTGAGTGCGGTGGAATTTGCTGGAAAACACAAGGATTTTCCGTAGCTCAAATGTGATCGTTATAGATGCTCACTGTTCCATTATGGTGAATTTGTGCTTCGTTGCATCAAAGGATCTTTCTTAGCTACGACATAACCACCTCCATTCTTACAATAAAGGTCAACGTGGAAGGTCAGTCGGGTCTCCCTTGTTAGCAGTAAGCAGCTTTGATGGTTTTGGCTGATTTTATACGGATGACAATGCATTAGCCTTTTCGGTACCTTCCACACTGTGCCATAGAATACCCCACTATCGTGATACTGCACCCACGCTACTGAAGCCTGCAACATTATTCGTTCACTATTCAAATACAACTATGATAACATCTTCAACAACTTGTAAAGTAATAGGTTTGCACCCTCAACAGCATTGAAATTTTTTCCTCAAATCCAGAAATCATTCTAAGAGTTTGTGGAGTCAATGAGTCCTGAACGCAAATTCCTACGATGGCGAAATTCCCGAAGTGCAGTTGCAACATTACTATTGTTTTTATAAAACAGCTTCACGAAAAATGTGCGTTCCGGCTGAGTGATGGCCAATGTAGCTGATAATAAGGACATTAAACAATTGCGAGGACTTTTATACCCACTTGGCTGTAATAAGTGTGCTAATAAGTGTATTTTCCAATAAAGCGGCTTTAATACAACTGAATAAGCAAACTAGTGACATACCGGTAATCCGTCTCAGGTTATTGGTTTGCTTATTCAACTGAATTAAAGCAGCTTTACTAGGCAAAGCGCCCTAGCAGAAAAAAAAACCTTTTCTTCGTTGATTGCTGCACCGAACGTGCCATAGTGATAAACTTTTGGTACTAATTTTTGTACAGAAATGTTTTCTGCATGTCCTCAAATGTCATCATCGCAGATTTGGTTGCATTCGAACTACTAAATATCGTTCTGGACAGTGTTGAATATAGTACTTTTTAATAACAATCAACCGGTGTATATGGATATAATGTAGCTAGTTCTTCAGCCTCTATATAATAAAATGAAAATTAAGACGAACAAATTATGTAATTGAATTTAAACTTAAGCTATATCTCATCTTATATCTCACCTCATAAATTATTTAAATAAATATACTTCAAATTAAAACTCCTACAATTATCTTAACAATTTTATATTCGTATTCACTTCTGAATCTCATTAGAGCATCAAAAGTAAAAAGAAAAATATGAGGATCCGAATTTGATTTTTCGTGTGTTTATATCATTTCACATTGTAGCTATACTTTCAGTCGATAACTGTCAACTTTTACACCTGGGAGCTAAACATCTGCTAAGTTCTCAGGCTTAATAACGACGTTTTCTCAGCACCTTTCGACCTAATATCTCCGTTTCAACAATCCAACATGAAAAACAGACAACAAAGTTAGGCAGTCGTCACCAGTTCCTCGATCGGACCACTCAACTTTTCCCTGTGCTAAAACTTTGGATATTTCCTCGCCTTTGGATACCTCCTCGCCTAATAACTGTGGAAATAAGAACTATCGTCCAGAACTGTTTTCCTTTGTGATTTCATACAAGGTAATTATCGACACGCGAACTTCTGTAAACTCTCTCTCTCTCAAATCGGGGAAAAACGTAATATCTTAATATCGAATACTTATCAAATTGAGAAATGTATCTAACCGCAGCCCTAATGTATAGCCTATCGTTAACCATTAAACAGTTGTTACGTTAAAGCGTCTATGAGTAGGTCACTTCCGGTGCGCTGTCTCTCCTTCTATCTCGAGTCGAGATAGAAGGAAAACACAGTAGTGTCAGTCCTGACGAAACTTGTCATTGCGATCTTCGCCGACGCGATGTCGACCATTCGGTCACGTGGTGCCGAAGTATAGGGAGGCCCTTCGGCATTGTCACAAAAATAATTATAATGATTATTTTAAAACGAGTTATTTTTTAATAAATTATTTAAAACAACATAAAACAAAAAANTTGTATAGGCTATAACCATTCGTTAATTGTTCATATTGAAGAGCAAAGAAATTACATAATTTTTATTGAAGTTTGTTCTTGCAAATCCAAAAAATATATTTGTCATAAAACATTTAAAAGCTGCAAGATTTCCTCCTAATTACAGTGCATCTTAAAAAATATTTAAAAAAATAAAAGTTCATTTAAAATGTACTTTCAATATGTTTAAAACGAGTTTTAAAATGCATATTTATTACAGTTATTGAAATAAGGAAGTGTCATTGTATTCGTAATGTTGACTGTTATTGTTCAGTTTGTGGGTGTTTTCAACGAAATGTCTATTGTTTTGTTATTTTTCCTCAATGAAGAGAACAAAAACTTTTGATATTTATGAATGTTTTATAAAATAGTTATTTTCTATTTTGAAATAGTGTTTATAATTACTATTATTGTGTATTATCTTTAAAAACATGGAAAATTTTAACATTGAATGATTTGTGTTCAATAATCACGAGTACAAAAAGAGGAATGAAATTCATACGTGCTCTCATTAGATAGCTCGTATATTCCAGCTTTCCTCTTCATTTGAAGATACTGTATATCATAAATCAGGAGGTGTAACTAAGACAGTGCTTATGATGTACAGTACCCCTTGATACTAATGAAATCAGTTTTATTACTTTAAAATAAAATATAATAACGCATATCGCTCTATTTCATTATCAGAAAGTAATCTTATACAAACAGAAAAAAAAGAAAAATGAAATGAAACTGATATTTCTCGGAAACATATGTCGAAAAGTCTTCTATTTCTTCTCTTGAAATAACACAAAATATAAATTATTCTGTAATCAATCCATCAATTAGAAATTATGAGTTATTCATTTTCCATCGTCCATATAACAATTTTAAAAAGACAATGAAAAATATATAAAAAATAAAAAGTTAAATAACTTATATAATTTTAAGATTATTAAGTAGCATCATATAACAGATTGACTAATGTGCTATTAGAATCTAAAATAAATTTGTTTATCAAAGCATCCGTAAAGAATAAAGGCTTCATAATCTTATATTTTGGCCATTACAAATGTAATTGTCGTAAACGTAATAGGAATTAAGCGATATAATTTACAAAGTCAAACTCATTTCTCAAATGCATATTTCTTCCATCATAACCTTATCCAGTCAGCTTACCTGGGACTCTACAAATAATATTAAAGTGATAAAAAGTCAAAGTATTAGTTAGCTATCTATTAAAATATATAAAACTTAATATCTGATTTTAAATCTGACTTCCTCCTGCTAATAAGATAATATTTACTGTTGTCGATACACTTGTCCAGCTATCTATTAGGCCTACTTGTTTCAATTTTATTAAACAGTTAGCAAACAATAATTTCGATAAACTCTTCAATATGTTCTAAATATGATCCAGAACATTTTTATGTGCTTGTACAAATAAATGTGGTTTATTTAAAACATTCTTTTTCACTTTAATATTAAAATACTAACAGTAAGTATATATATATATATATTTGTTTATTTTCAGATCTGAAAGTAAGAAATGAAGTTAATGTGTATTCAAGAAGGGCTGACTCGTCAATTCTATAATTTAGGCTATTTCATTGGTAAACATCCATTTATATTTATATTTTGTCCCATTACACTAACTGCAATTTTATCATTTGGAATAATGTACATAAATGTGAACAGAGACTTGCATTACATTTATACTGCAATAAATGGCAAAGCTGCACAAAACAGAGAATTTACTAAATCACATTTTCCAGTAAACACTTCATATTATGCTGATGTGCAACGAATTTTAGACCAAACTACCATCTCAATCGCACAAATTGTAGCAAAAGATGAAGGGAATTTACTTCGAGAAAATATTATTAATGAAATTATTGTTCTAGATAGCATGATTAAAAATATTACTGTAAAGTTGAATGAAACCAATGCAAACTATAACGTCCTGTGCGGCAAAAAGTTCTCCAAATGCTTTGAAAGTAATGTCATGAAAATACTTTTAAATTATGATGATTTTATTACAAGAAAATATAGAGTAAAATATCCTATTACTTTGAATGAAATTGTATATTCCTACGAAGAATATGCATCAAGTGTTGGAGGAATGATAACCGACAAAAACGGTTATTTAATAAACTTCAAAGCAGTAAGACTACTTTATTTGTTAGACATCAGCGATAAACGCAAAGAAAAAGCAATTAAAAACTGGAAGATTGCTTTTAATGAGCTGCTACAATCTAAAAAATTTAATCATATTTCGATAAGCTTCATTAACGATTACGTGGTCGATAAAGAAATACAGAAATTTACTGACAGGTTGTTGCTTCGTTTACCGATTGTTTTTATAATTGTTGTTGTTTTCTCGCTTGTGACTTGCATGACAAACGATTGGGTGAAAAGTAAACCCTGGTTAGGGCCTTCTACGTGCATATCGGCAGCATTGGCCATCGTCAGTGGATTCGGAATAATGGGTTTTGCTGGTGTTACTTACGTAGACTTCAATATTGCACTCTGTTACATAATTTTAGGTAAGTTTATATAATGCAAAATACTTTTTTCTTACTTTTTGAGCGAAATTATTCAATGTAATACTTTTGTAGGTACGGAAATTGATGACTCCTTCGTACTAATAGCTGCATGGAGGATAAGTGATTCTAGGAAGAGTGTTTGTAGACGTTTGGGCGAAACGTATTCCGAAGCTGGTGTATCTATCACAATTACATCTCTTACCAATTTCATTTGCTTTAGTATCGGAATAAGTTCGCCTTTTCCAGCATTTCGTTCGTTTTGCATATATGCTTCTGCTTGGTTTTTATTCACCTATTTATATCAGATCACATTTTTTGGAGGTTGTTTAGCTTTAAGTGGATATAGAGAGAAGAAAGAACTTCATTCATTCACATTTCAAAAAGTAAAATGTACGTATATTTTAGCTTTGTATTTCTTTTTTTTATTTTTTATTTTTATAAAAACATTAAGATACTTTTGCGAAGAATATTGTTAATAGTGATGAGTTAATTTGAATAATATGAATAGTTGAATGACCATTTCAATGAATCATTCAAATTTTATTTATTAATGAAAATTTAATTGTTATTAGCATTTACATTTTTTTTTTTTTATGAAACTCATCCATACTTTCAAAATTAAGCCTTTTTCATTTTATAATAATTAATAATATAAAAGTTTGAAATAAAATATCATAACAGATGGCGCCAAACAAATTTTAAATTTTTTTGCCGGGAAAGTTACGCAATTCGTTGCTGATTTGGATCTTTTTCCAAATGGGGCGGCATGGCGGTGAGGGACGGGGGCGAACGTATCCGGTCGGGCGAACATATCATTATCTTGGGGATTTCTCGATCCGTCAGATTCGATCCTGGGTCCTTCAGAGCCGTAGGTTGTCACCTTCCCTCGTGTGAAACACATATGAAAAATTTCTGGCGAGCAACTCTCCAGGAATTTTTCTTTACAAGTCTCGGATATGTCGGATCCCATCTCTCACCGTTCTGTTCTGCTGTCCTCATTGTTCAAGAATTACGAAAAATTAAAACAAGACGAGAATTACGAGGACTTTATATGTATCATGCAATCAAAGGAGAATTTGGCGATAATTCTACAGATGCGTTTTGAAGTCAAATACAGAACAATACATTATGATATCAAACTGATATAAACTACTGAAATATAGTTGAAATTGCTTAGAAGTGTATTTTATTATTTTGTTTACAAATTTTAAAATTTATTTTAATTTTTTAATCCATCTCGTGGAACACTAAGAATTGCTTCGTACCTCGCGGCACATCGATTGAGAATCACTGATATAACACGTATTTATGATTGCATGCAGGTAACTAATTTAGCATTAACAATAATTGTCATTTTACTCTTATTATATTGTATTTATAGTTTCTACAAACTCGATTAAGCATAACAACATAATAATAAATTTGTTTCTGTTCTATACTTTGTTGTGTATAAAAGTTCCAGGTTACCTTATGAAAAATATCAAACTCTGAGGAAAGAAACAAAATAAACTGAATCTGTTCATTTCCAGGCGAGAAATGTTTATAAAAATTTTCGAATATGAATTATGTTAAAACTAAATATCGAAATACATTACTTTCTTATGGCTTGTGAAATTTTGTCAGGAATCATATTTGGCTCGCAAGAATACGAGCCAAATCTGATAAAGTTGGAGCATTGTTGAAATAAAGTTGAGCATTGTTGAAATTCTAATTGTTATAAATAAGTGATAATGTCTTTTCGACATTATCACTTATTTATAACAATTAGAATTTCAAAGATTATCTAAATATATAAAATTACTTATCCTGACTGATTGACTGACTGACTGAATGACTGATTCATCATCGCCCAGAGCAAACCGCTGAACCTAGAGGTAAAATTTGGTACACAGTTAGGGTACGTCATGAAAACGCACGCTTAGAAGGGATTTTTCGAAATTCCCCCGCAGGGGGAAGAGGGAGAGGATTAAGGCTTAACCGGACGAACGGCTTCTACTGTACTATTTTAGATGTGAATTTTTGTTTTCAACTACGTTTAGTCTTCATTGAGTACTTAGGTGTATTAAATTGATAACATTTCAGTCATTGTTATAAATATTTTTATCTATTTCGATTTTAAAAGTGTTCGAACCGTTTTAAATTCGAATTTGTTATTGCGTATTGGTTCGATTATAGAACGATTGTAAACGTTCCAGAAAATTGATCAAATTAAAAATAATTCGTTTGATTCTAGGCAATTCTCTTCAGCGGTAGGTGTTATATAACAATTACTATGGTTATTGAAATATTGAATGTAAATAGAGTTTGCTTGCAAAACCTCCGCGGACGAAGTCGCGGGTAATAGCTAGTCTGATATAAAGCAAAAAGAATAAAAAAGAAATAGATAATTGAAACGAAATTACAGTAATACGTTTACCATTTCTGTCAATTTATAAGTCATTAATTTTGCAGTTTTGTCTAAACTAGGGGGAGAAAATGCTATTCAATAATTAGACAATCGTTATTTGTCAACTTAAAACGTGAAAAACAAAGTAAAATTTCATACTTACAGCTAAAATATAAATTTAAATGTTAACTTTAACATAAATAAATTATCTTACAATATTAAGTATACTTATTCCATATTTTAATAAAATCAAGTTGCTCGTAACTCTAGTTTTAATGACACTTTTAACTTTATCCTAGATTGAAACATAAAAAAATGATACTTTCAGGTGATAAATTCTAAGTTTTTTTCTGTTGTTAACAGCAACAATAAAAATATTTTATTTTATTTTTTAAATTTATTTCTATTGATATTTTGTCAATTTTGTATGACAATGGGTATATTGTATAAAAAATGTTTACCATCATTAGGTTAGGTCTTTGTAAAAGTTTCTAATCAATGATTTCCAGTAGCTAATTGCCAATGTTGTTAGTTGTCAGCCAGTCTAATTGATTTCATTACATTAAAAATCTGTATATTTTATATACAGATTTTTATATAATTGAATTGAACTCCGCATAAGTCAGAAAGTGTTTTGTCTGTGATCGAAGAAACCACACGACCACTAAACGTTACTTTTTGCAAAAGCACAACTCGGCAAGGCCGTTGTCGTGACTAAGCCAAAATTTTGAAATTCAATCTATGGGCTGAAAATTTATGTTTAATATTAGGTTTATATCAACTATAAAATGCAGAAAGTATTCATAGAAGATTCAATTCAGAATTTTTGATTAAAAAATTGATTATTCATAACAAAATAATCAATTTTTTCCTGTCTGCCATCTTCTTGGTTAAACAAGAAAATGTGTTGACCCCCAAAAAACTTATGAAATTAATCTATCAATAAAATAATTTATATATTTGTTTATTTTTCTTCCAGGTTCAATCGAAAATAAAAACAAGATTGAAATGACAGATAAAAATTTTATAATGAAGAAATTTGAAGCATTCGGTTCTTTTCTGTCCTTAAAAACAAGTAAATTTTTAATATTGATATTATTTTTTGTGAATATAAGTCTCGGATTTTACTGCTTACGATATATGAAAACTGGAAACGATTTTTCGGACATATTCAGCACAAATTCGATGCCAGCAATATACAACAATATAAGTTACACATATTTTCAAAATTATTCTTATCCGCTTTCTATAATAATTGATAAACCAATAAATTATGCCGATGACAATGTATATCACGATATAGAACAATTTATTGAGAAAGTTTCAGCTCATCCTCACGTTGCAAGCACGGATTATCTTATATCTTGGTATAAATATTTTAAAATAATGCAAAAAACACAAGTAATGAGTTGGCTCATAAAAAGTTACAATATGAGTAAAATGGAAGACTTCATAGAAGTATTGCGCTACGTATTCTTTAAACTACCTCAAACGACAGAAGTTCACAGCGATGTGGTTTTCAACGATAATTATACAGAAATCATCGCTACTCGTTTTATAATACCCACTGCCAATATAAAAGGACAAACGGACGAAACAGAATTAATGATAGATTTATATAAGCTTGCTGAAGAATCACAGCTTCCAGTAAGATTTGATAATTTCATGTTTCCTCTTCTTGAACAGTCAATAATAATAAAGGGGATAACGTTACAATCGGCTGTTATTACTTCTGCTATAATTTGTGTAATTTTCTTCGGTTTTGTGCCAAATATTTGTTGCGCTTTATGCACAGCTCTAATTGTGCTTTGCATCATTTGCGAAACTGTTGGATTTGCTAGTTTTCTAGGTATTAAAATTGATATTGTCTTGCTCGGTTGTCTCATTATATGCATTGGTTTCTCCATAAATTACCCGACTCATATTTCTTTTTCATTTTTCATGGCAAAAGACACAAGTCCGAATAAGCGACTTAAGAAATGTCTTTACGACGTAGGCCTGCCAGTCTTTCAGGGATCCTTTACCACGATTTTAGGCGTTTGTATCTTGCCATTCGAGCCGTATTACTGCCCTGGAGCGTTTTTTAAAATAATCGTAATTATTGCTTTAGAGACTGCTTTTCACTCGTTGTGTGTAATTCCTGTCATTTTAAGTTTGTTAGGAAAAATTGACAAATCGCTTTCAGTAACAGTTAATCCGGAATTTGATAGCGAATTTGAACCAAAATTACAATTGAATAAAACTTAAATATTTTATAAAGAAAATAAAAATCATAGCTTAAAGATAATTACATTAAAATCATTATTAACAGTTAAAAACACTAAAGGAAAAGTGCATTTTGATACGACTGATTGTATGAATTTTAAATCTAATTTTAATTCTTTAAGAAATTAAAGGAAATTTTACTTTTTGTCCCTTTTTGCCCTGTGGACACTAAGAGGTCTATACCATTATAGGTTCGGCCAGGCCCACAAAGGCAACTGCTGTACGATGAGGGACGGGTTCAATATATCCAGGAGAGTCGATACCCAAAAAGTTTCTGCGGTGTTTTCGACCACCCAGATTCGATCCCGCCTGTAGATTGACCCTTTAATCTACTCGGCAATCTGATCATCAATTAAAGTGGATCAATGGGTAAAATTTCTTTTTATAAATTTTAAGTTCTCATCAGTAAAAGTGTTACAAACATTTTGGTATTCATTCGTAAGTCTAACATGTAGATTATTAGAAATTTTCGTTATGAGCTCATACATGATGAATTAATTTGAATACACAGTATTTACAATTAATCAATTTTTTTTTGTCTAAAATTATTCCATATTAATAAAATTTTAGAGAAAAAAATTCATAGTAATCATAAAACAATAAGATCACCGAATCATTCCTTTTACTCTCCTAAAAACAATTCATAACTTAATTTTTTTCGTAAATGCGAAAACTATAAAAAAAGTATCACTTTATGTAATAATAAGTCTCGTTTATGAACTGTTTTCAAGCGTTTTGTAACGTCCCTGTAATTAACTGCTTCGTCTTCAAACTCCTTTGATATATCCATGCAATCTCCAAGAAACTTCTTTATTGGATTGCAATTTGAAAAAATTGTAACCTATAAATTCTCACTGTCGTCCGCCCTTCCTGAATTTCAAGAATTGCAGTTAGATAGATGAAAGCTGAGACCAGATATGGAAATGTTAGGGACAGGAGGCCCGATTAACTATATACGAACGTCCGATGCAAACCGGATAGCACATTAATTCTATTCAAAAATTTCCCCTGAAAGCGTTAGGTAGATGACCGGCACAAACTCCATTATTAAAGGAAAAGTATGATGTACTGTACAGGAGGCAAGAATTTGAAGGTGGAGTGCATATAATTTAAATTAAATACATTTAAAAAATAAGATTAAAAATTGCAGCTTGGCATTGTGACGATGCTGCAATAAATATTTGCTCGTTTCTTCTAATATTCTGTTATCTTCCGACTCTGCTGTGCCTTCTTTACTAAACGCTTCTTCACTCAGCATAACAGTGATTTCTTCGCCCTGATATCTTTTCTGTTCCTCTATTCAAATTTATAGCAACAGTTTCGAATCTTCCATGTAGACTTTTCTATCATTTGTCGTCTATCATTAACATGTACTCCCGCTTTGCTACCCTCTCCCCTATGTCATTCCTGACCAAATGGAATAAGATAGTTTCTGTTGAGTATAATTTTTCATTACAATATTCTCCGACTTTCTGTAGAAAGTTTTTCTTCAATTCCATACATAATCCACTCAGACTATTTTATCTTTCTCTTCCTTGCATGACTTATCCTTATTTCCTTTACTTTCAAGTATCCTTACGAATTCGCTAAACACCCTCCTAATAAACTTGAGTTGAGAGCTATCTTTTCCTTATCAAGCGTTTCCTGGTCACGAGATTCATTAATTAATAGCTGTTTCAATCAATGATCTAAATGTTATACACCAGCAGGTTCTTGGAGTCGTGTGGTATGTAAATCGGTTTGTAAATATTCTTCTTATAAACCAAAGTTCTAAACATATCATCCTTCTTCTCCATTTAAAAATCCAAGAAACGCATTTTAGTATTCGATTTTTGTGCTTTAAGAACTTTAAGATTCAAACTTTGATTAGAAAACACGTAAACAAACTCCTCAATCACACTTATGACATTCCATATTACCAATAAATCGTCAAATTACCTTACAGTAAACTGGATTTTAATCTGGAATTTCTTCACTTACGGTTTCCGAAAGTACTAAAGAAACTGTTATTCAATTAAGTGAGCGTCAATAAAGCATATTTTTGTTGTAAAAAATTATTAATGGAGCTAGACTTTATCACCGCATCCTTGTACACACGTAAAATTTAGGTTTAAGAAAAAAAGAAGTTTTATTTATTCTTTGTTGACCAAACTACACAAATGAATATTTTTAAAAAGATGGAATTTGCTTTATAGTTAGTTTAAACTTTACACTGAAAGACATTAATAAATTGTAATCTTCTATGATAATTTTCTTGAATAGTTTCGTTTCATATCAAAAATAAATAAATAAATATTTCTAATGTTTTTAATCAAATTTATTTTAATATAATTTTTATTTTTTCAATTATTAATTTAAAAAAACACATTAGGACTTTATAAACAATTCTGTATAATGGGGTAAGTTAGAATTAGAGCTTCAATTCCAAGTTTCTGAAATTATGCCAATGAAAGTTTTAAGCAGATTTGGTATTTTCCTTAAAAAGTTTTGATGTATTATCTTAAAATAAAAATATTAATTAAGTTGTTTTACTGTTAAAATTAAATATTTATCTTATTGGAAGTAAATGCAACATTGCTTAAAAGTATTCCAAAATATTCATTTTATTATAGCCTATATCAAAAATTTATACAGTAGAATATATTCAACCTCAATAAAATAACTTCCTATCATAGCCATTTACGAAAATCTAATAATTATCATTGTAAAGTTCAATCTAAATTTTTTATGCATTTGAGAAAATCTGATATTAATTTAGTTTCACAAAATATATTGATTCTATAAATTTCTAAAGAACAACTGTTTCTATCTAGTCTTACATTAACATAACAAATAACAATAATTAATAATGAATTGTACAGTACAAGAACTATTCATCTTAATTTCAATTGCATACTGCTAAAAGATAAACATTTTCAGAAAGTGCCAAGTAGGTACCAATTTTACTTAAATGTATTTTGATGTTAACAATTAATCTGCCTTGGAAAATCATCAATTAATTCTGTTTCATGATTATCATTTGTCAGTTAACCTCGTTAATAAATATTTAAATCTTAAATTACTGTATACTTTATAATATGTATTTCAATAAATTATTGTTAATTTTTAACAGGTGTGATATAGTATTTATGATTAATTCATTATAAATTTTATGTTACATCATTTAACAGCAATATTTTATTACTGTTTCATATGTTAGATGATTATATTGTTGTATAAAATAAAGAGAAATTGAAAAATATTTTTGTTTTATTAATATTATTGCAAAACTTTCCATTGCAAAAAATTTTTCAATTTTTTGCAATGGAAAGTTTATTTCTTCTCTTTCCTTTTGTTTCGTTCTTCACTACATAATCTCCAGATATGATCTTCAACTGAAATTTGGAGCAATCTAATTGAATAAATAAATGCATACTTACAGTCAAAGTTTAATGAATAAGCTTTTTCACATACTTAAAGTATAATGGATGCTAACTGGTTGATTAAAAAATAATCAATTCAAGTTGGAAGTTTATTAGTTGAACAATTTCTTAAAAACACACTTTAAAATAAAATTTCAAATTGCAGAAACCCAAAATTATCATCTTTTTGGATATCTTATATACTGCATAAAAATTTCTAATGTTAAACAGCCAAAATTTTTGAAAATTAATCAATGAAGAGAAGAGAATAAATTCTCAATTAATTTAATAAATAAATATTATAAAATTTATTTTATATATATTTATTAATNATAAAATAAAATATATTTTATTTTAAAGAATTGATAATAATTGTTTAATTAATTAGCAGGTTTAATTTGATAACATTAAAACTTTTCACATCATTTTTTGATTCTTCAAAAAAATAAAACAAGAATTTAATTATTGATTTTATATAATTATTTTTATTTATTAAAATAAATAAATAAAGACTTCTTGCCACAAAAAAAGCTGCAATAAAATTTTAAAATTAGTCTTTGTATATCAATCCTTCCTTCAAGAGAAAATCATATATTTTTCGTGTTTTGTTAACATCAATCTTAATTAATACACGAGCTTGTGCAAGTCTTAATCTTCCTTGTTTTCTGTATTCATTGATCAACACATTTTTGAACTGCATATAAGAATTTGGTGCCAGTCGAAGAACTGAACATAACTATAAAAAAATATATTTAAAAATGAATTACTGAAGGCTAAGATGAATTACATAAGTAAAATAAACTAATTAAAAAATGTCATACACAAAAAGTTACTTTTATTCAAAAAGTAAGTCAATATAATGTAGGAAATGTGTAATATATATAAACACATATTTCGTTTTTTAAACTTATACCATATTAACCAAGTATTGCATTGGACTGCATTAGATTGAATTGTTTTCAACAGGTTGCAGTATTATAGTTAAAATGTACTCAAAAATACAGTAAACAAATATTTATATGAAAATCTAACAATACAAAATTATACTAAACTCAAATACATCATATGGATTTGAAGTAATTTAGAGTAAAGTAATGCTAATGCAGTTAAGAATGTTTTAGTACATAGTACCTATTAACATAAAAATATTTTTATGTTAATAGGTACTATGTTGTATACCATCAGTCCCACAGGAAGAAATAAATCATTGAGGGGGGCTAAATTAATAAATGAGGTCAAGCTGAATAAATTGTATAGGCCATAAATAGGCTTGATATTAGTAAGACTGCCTGTGTGAATACCTTCAAATTTATCATTTTAATTTTCCTATTTTTTCAAGCTTGGTGTGAGTTATTATTCTTAATCTAATCTGTTAAAAAGTAAGTTTATATTATCTGATAATTCAAGGGACAAAGTTGGATGCACAATAAAAATTAAGACACTTATTAATATGTAAAATAAAATGCAGTTACTTTTGAATATGAACACAAACTTGTTTTTAATTGAAATGCTCTTAAAATTCATAAGTATAATATCTTAAAAATATTCTGTTAGGATATTAATGCTATTCCTTGTGGGAAAAATTCCTTTGGCACTCAAACAGCCTTCTTGAATGAATTAACTTTGAGTACCACAATATCACTGTAGTTTATATTCTTCAATATATAATACATAAATATACTATTACTATCAATATATTATATGGTTAAATCTACTTATTTTTTAAAATTTAAAGTACTTAAATTATTTTGAATTATATAACACATTAATTTTTACCTCTCTTTCTTTGCTGCTGAGACTCTCAAAACCAGGCATACCAATAATGTTTAATGGAGGTGCAGAACGACGACCTGATAAAAGATTTATATACTATATACACTGTATAGATAAGGAAACATTTAAATATTTCTGACATAGTAACATCCAATATATGTTCTAATCCGAAATAGTAATAATGCAGAGAATACAAATAAAGAGAAAAAAAAAGAAATATGAATTGTAAACAGGCATTCCTCCCATAGAAGAATCTTGAAAAATGTAAGCACTCATTTTCATCACATGAAAAGAACTTTTTCAATCACATAAACAAGAAATTACCATATGAAATAATTTGTTTCCATTTTAGTAACATTTTCAAATAAAATTCTGAATACATAAACATAATATAGAGTAAACATTAAAAAAATAATGTTTTAGAACCAACATAAATTTTCTCTGAATACAGATACACTTTTAATGAGATAATTTAAACTAAGGGCATAGAATGAATCTTAACACACTTAATTTTATAGCTTATAGCAATGACTTACCAGCAGTAGAAATAGGTACATCTGATAAACCTTGTGATCCTTCCCGAAATGCTTGTTTTTGTAGCCATTGTTGACGAGAAGTTTCATCCTAATAAAATAATCTATTGTTAATATTAATAATAAACAATATTAAAATATATAATATAAATTTTAAAAGATACCTGTGCTAAGAATAAATAATATAACAAATTAAAGAAATTTGAATACATATAGAAGAAGAAAATATAATTATAGGAATGACTGAAATGGTTCTTTTTTTAGTAATTTATCTTCATATTATGGGAACTATATTAGAGTGATAAAATTGATTTTTATCTTATTAATAAGTTTGATCTAGNGTACTTAAATCGATTTTACTGTATTGAAGTGTACAGTAACTATCTTAATTAAAATCTGGACATCTTAATTATCTGTTAATGGTGTGTGTATATATATTAGTTCAATTACACTTCAACAAAAACACGAAAAATGTTAATATTTGATAAATTAAAAATAAAAATACCGAACCTTAATATGAACTAAGATGTCAGATAGAGCCGATCTCTTTACTTGTCTCCCACGACTTTCTATTAATTTACTGTATAAATATTTGATAAATTAAAAAGTAAAATACCGAACCTTAATATGAACTAAGATGTCAGATAGAGCCGATCTCTTTACTTGTCTCCCACGACTTTCTTTTAACTTCAGATAGGTAGGAATGCTATGCTGAAACAACATTCCTGCTTCTCGACATTCTTTTAAAAGAATAATTTTCTGCTCCATTTCACGTTGAGCTAGTGTAGAATATTTGAGATAATGTTAAATTATGCTAAAATATGTAGATATACATATTTAACAGATAATATATGTAGTTAACAATAGTATATTTTAATGACTATTTCATTTTTGGATGCTTGCTAATTCTCAAATTAACAATCATGTTTGTAAATACATGTTCTTTATGTCTCATATATAAGATGAGCTAATATGTGTTATGTACAAATAATGCTGACCTCTGAGAAGCTCATATATATGTACTACTTATAGACATCAAATAGAGTATCTTTCTTACTATACTGTATATTTTACAATCATCATTTATCTTGTGGTACTTCATGGTTGTACTGTACATTACTTGTAGTTTTCATTATCTTGATTTTCTTTATTACTGACTTCCAGCTCAGAATGGAAAATAGATATTCTTATCTGACTTTGCTAAGAAATTCCATTATCAATCACTGTGAAGAAGAAACTGGCTAGCATTAAAGGATTTAAATAATGAAAAGCACTATAACTTTAACCTATGATTACAATATAACTTAAGGTATAATCTCTTATCCAAAATATGCAAATTACTTTAAAAATGTGATGGAACCAATTTCTACATGTACTGTACAATACATTTAGGTATAAACACATGCATTTAAGGCATGTGTGCCATGCCTTAAGCATATGAATGATATTTGGAATATGGCTTTTCTAAAGGTCTATAACTGATAATATTTCAGTAAACTTTTAAGAAATTCCAAAATATAATTATTTTATTATAAAGTTGTTGAAATAACATATACATATTAAAAATGTGCAATTATTTATTGTGACATTGTCGCAATGCTGGGCTGCAATTTTTAATCACATTTTTAATTTATTTAATTTAAAATATATTTTCTCTACCTCAAATTAGTAGTGACTTGCCCCCTGTACATCATACTTTTCCTTTAACAATACAGTCATGCCAGTTATCTATCTAACACCTTTCAGGGAAAAATTTTTGAATTGAAATAACATGACTTCCAATTTGCATTAGAAGTTCATATATAGTTAATCGGGGCCTACTGCTCCTAAGATTTCCATTTCTGGTCTCATCTTTCATCTAATTAACACCATTCTCAAGATTAAGGAAAGATAGATGGATGGACAATGACAGTGGGAATTTATAAGTCCATAATTTTTTCAAACTGCAGCCCAATTAAGTACTAGAATTGTAAATAATTAGGTTCCAATAGTAAAAGAGTGAGATGTTCCAGCTGATTTGGTGATTGTGTCATCAATAGAATCTCCATTTCTGCAGTGACAGTGTGCTTAAGAAATGCTTAATGTATATGTGTTATTTCAACAACTTTATAATAAAATAATCATATCTTTGAACTTCCTGCTGAAAGTTTATTGAAATATTAAGTTATAGAATCTCTAAGAAAGCCACATCCTCAATTATGACTAACTACATAATTAGAGAACATGCTATAACTGAGAGACAAATGGGGTTATAAGCAAGGATTTTAATCCCTAAGTTTGACATTAACTGTACAATAACAGTAGTATGTATAACAACATAATAATATAAAAAATTCACATTAAAGATGAAAAACATGATATATCTATGTTTCATTGGGCAATTAGAAATTTATTTCATTATTGACTGCAGATTTCTTGTATTATTGATGCTAGAATACTTACTGTATGCTAGCATACTGTAGATCTTAAGATCCGGGCTAATCTTTCTACATTGCCTATCTTACTAAACTAAACAACTGAAAAGAATTAACTTTTTGATAGAAAAATTACAGTATGATTAGATAAATTTTAAGGTAAAGAATCATAACATTATAACTGTAGTATTAATACAGATATAGCATACTTTTATCATAAGTCTACAGTTCTCAATACAAGTACATAAACTCATTTAAAAACTTTTCTAATTCAGAAATTATAAAAAATCATCTAGATAAATTTTCTTATAAGTTTTGTATTTTCATGAGGAATTAAAATATAACAATTTTCATGATATCAACATTTTGTATTCTTTTGATGTCACATCTTTTAACATTAAATTATTGTCTACAAGAGTTATTGTTTTTTTTTTTTCCCCTTTCCTACATTTACAATTAGTCAGATATTTACTAAAGATTATCCTAAAGTAACATATTATGTTATTTTATGATAATGTTTAGTAAATACATATATTTGTGTATAATCAATTCAATATAATGTCATCTTTCTAAAGTGTCAATAAATACAAATGGATCTTATCAAAAAATATTAAATAGAAAACCTTTCAGTGTCTATGAATTAGTAAATGTATAATTTTGCACTTTTGGTGTGAACAATGTCAAATTACTAAATTATGACTTTCAAATTCTCAAGTCCAAAAAGTAGTATATAAAATTATATAAACAGTAAAAATAGAATACATTGCACAAAATATTAAAATATTAATAAAAGTGCATATATGATAAAAATATATAATGTATATGCCAGTGGCATGCCATGACATTTGATGATAGGGAAGCTGTTTCCATAAAAATTTTAAACAAATACTGGAAATGACAAAATTAAACAGTTTATTTATTTTAATTCTAAAATAGATAATTTACAGGAAATAAAGATATAAGAACTTGTTTTTATTATTTTTTATAAACTAACTCTATTCAGAAATTTTTTCCCACAAAGTTGTTAATTACTTTATCATAAAAATTGTTAAAAGCTCTTTTTCTATTGAAAGCAACACTAGTAATGACAATCTTTCCTCTGACTGAGTGTTCCTTGCCAATATATCAATTTGCTTCATGGTTGAAAAACTGCGCTCAACAGATGCACTCATAGATGGTACCATAAAAATTAATGATAATAAATCATATAATTCTTTTAGTACATCTTTGTTCACATCATCATTAATTATATATTTTATGTCTAAGAGTGACTTGTCAATATAGTCTGGACACAAATTGCAATTCGCTATGTAATTTAGATAAATCAAAAAACTTTCCAAACAATTTACTTAAAGAATTAAAATGCACTTCGGAAAATTGTTTTTCATAATATTTAAAATTATTAACATTGTAAAAGTGATAAAAATTCTAAAAATTGTCTGAAAATCTGTCAATATAGTTATAATTAAAAGAAAATAATAATTAAATATAGCTTTGTAAAGAAACATACATAAAAATAACATAAAATTGGTCTTTATTTTTTAAATCTTAAAACAATCCACTTAGTCAAATAGCTCCCTACAAGTGGCTAATGTATGGAATCGTTGAAACATTATACAATATTTTGGTGTGTAGCATCCACCAGCTAAGCAACCAGAGGTTGGTGGTGCTCTGTAAAGAACATTCATGAATACTTGTAATCTGGCTGCTTTACACGATTCAGATATTTTTGCCGTGGAAGCTGTCCCGTATTCAACAATATGGTGCTTCCATTGGGAATATGCATATACAAATTTATATTCGAATATACAATAGCCATCTTATCATTGTTATTCACATGAATAGAAATTTGTAATAAAATACATAATGCAGTTATAATAAAATATTAATTTTAAATAATTCAAAGTATGTTAAAATATGAAAATAATCGCACGATACGTATTTATATTTTAGAAAATACAAGGAAAGTGTCATTTTCACAGCTTCCATGTACAGCATGCCACTGATCTATGCAAATAACTGGAGTATGTATTAGTAAAAATATACATATTGAAACAGCAATTAAAAAAATATAATAAAACGGTACAGAAAAACATATTATAGTGTCATGCAAATAAATTTGTATTTAGAAAAAAGTAGAAAAAATGTGCTTTTAAGGCCTTATATATGGATTATGCTTTATAATACAATCAACATGAAATACTTAACTAGTTTGGCAACCTGCATAAATATGAGTGATTTTTAGTAAAACAAGTTAAAATGAAAAGATATATATCTTTTCATTTTAACTTTTCATTTCTAGTAAAACAAAAAGTTAAAATGAAGTTAAAATTTCTAGTAAACTGAAAAGTTTACTAGAAAGTTTAACTTCATTTCAACTTTTCAGTTATATACCGTGTTTCCCCGAAAATAAGACATCCGCAGAAAATAAGACCTAGCATAGATTTTGCTGAATTGCGAAATATAAGACCTCCCCCTGAAAGTAAGACCTAGCGAAGTTTTTTTTTAGTCGTAACGGTCATCGACAGATGGTTGAAAGTACAGCCACTGATTGGTCAGCAGACAATTACGCCACACGGCATGATTTGCATAAGACTATGGCTTGGGAATCACAGATTTGCATAATGTTATCGCTGGTGATCGCTAATTGGTCGGCTGGGAATCACGCCACATCACATTTGCATAGTGCTACGGTTCAGTAAGCACTAATTGGTC